AAAAAAAAAAAAAAAAAAAAAAAAATAAATAAAGTATTGAGGTGCATATACACCTGAAAGGAGCATTGGTGCTGCTGCAGCAGATGGTTGGTTGCTGCTGCTGCTTCTATCGTCCGCACATCTTTCCTTATATCTCCTGTTTTTTCGTTTTTTAATAAAAAAGAATAAACTAAACCATCAGAACCAAATAAAGATATACGCTTCGGTTTCTGCTTGCTAGGCAATACCTGCAGCAGCAGCAGCAGCAGCAGCAGCAGCAGCAGCAACAGCAGCAGCAGCAGCAGCAGGGGAAGGAGAAGGAGAGAAATAGCAGCAGCTGTTCAAGCGAGAGATGCTGTTGCAGCAGCAAACGGAGAAACGGATATACACGCAGCAGCAGCAGCAGCAGCAGCAACTGCAGCAGCAACAGCAGCAACTGCAGCAGCAGCAGCAGCAGCAGCAGCAGCAAACCTGCATGGTGTCTGCAACAGCAGCAATAGTAACGAGGGGAGAATCCCAGCGAAGAAAAGCCTTCGTCGGTACAGCAGCAGCAACAGCAGCAGAGTTGCTGCTGCTGAACAGCCTGCAGCAGCAGCAGCAGCAGCAACAGCAGCAGCAGCAACAGGAATAGCATCGACAGCTATGGTAGCAGCAGCAGCAGAGTTGCTGCTGCTGCACAGCATGAACCAGCAGCAGCAGCAGCAGCAACAGGAATAGCAACAAAAGCAACAGCAGAAGCAGCAGGAGGAGCAGCAGCAGCAACAGCAATAGCAACAGCACCAGCAGCAACAGCAGCAGCACCACCACCACCACCACCAGCACCACCACCACCAGCAGCAGCACCACCACCACCAGCAGCAGCAGCACCAGCAGCAGCAGCAGCACCACCACCACCACCACCACCAGCACCACCACCACCACCACCACCAGCAGCAGCAGCAGCAGCAGCAGCAGCAGCAGCAGCAGCAGCAGCATACTGTGTAATATTAGGAAAAGTATGAGAGACAGAAACAGCAGCAGCAGCAGCACCACCACCACCAGCAGCAGCAGCACCACCACCAGCACCAGCAGCAC